GGGCAATACGGTGACACCGTTTTGGGCCACCCTAGATAGGGTTTCTCCATTCCTGGCCCCACCGATTTCTCCGCCCCGGAGCCCACGTGAAAACCAGGGAGGAGGCAAAAACATCTGCCGTGCAGGTCCACCGTCTCACACACACACATGCAAGCGTGCACACACACACCCCGTTCTTTTCTTTTTTTTTTTTTTTTAAACCCAAGTGAACATGTTTCAAAAAAAAAAAAACCAAAAAAAAAAGAAAAATTAACATAAGCAGCACCACATTTCCCAAGTGTCAGGAGCTCCAGAGCTGGAGCAGAGGCCTGGAACACCCCCACATCAAAAGAAACCAACCCTGCTTTGGCTGGGGGTCGGCCGATAAGAGACGCTTCTGAGGGGACGGTGCTTTGCCGCTGGGACGCGAGGCGAGAAGGGGCCGGGGAGAAGGAAGGAGGGCAGTTCTGTCATTTACTGAAGGGGAGGAAATGGTGACAGAGGCAGATGTACTGACACCAGGCGGTCGGCTCGGCCCTCACATGGCAGCGCGGGTGGGCGTGCTGGGCTGGTTCAACCGCAGCGTTTTGCACAGCCAGCCGGCGAAATCCACCTCCTCCACTTCGGAGCGTTTGATGAAGGTGTGACTCTGAAAGCGAAGGGAAAAAAGGATTAGGAGCATCGCCGGCTGCTCCCCGGCTCCCAAAACCCGACCCCGTTCTGTTGGGCTAGACCCCGGAGAAGCAAGAAGATCCTGGTGCGACGGCTCAGGCTGCTCTCAGGTAGCGAAAGCAGATTTTGAGATAGCATTTGGTTCTTGTAGCCCTGTGGTTTTTAAGCCACGTAGTCAACACAGGCACGGGAGTAAGGAAGGTTTAAAGAAGAGCAGAGCCTGCGCGGCCCCCAGACCAAAACGCTGCTCCGTACGGGCAGGCAGAGGAAGATGCTGCAGCTCCCCGGGGTCCTCGCTTGCCCCTGCACAGCAAACCCTGCTCCCCCAGGGGCAGAAGGTAACGGAGAAGCACAGGCAGGACAGGACAAGCTTCGCACAGGGGCAGGGGGCCACAGGCCACCTCCTTCGCAAGGGCTGTGCGGGAGCACCCGGACGTAGCTCAGGGGCTCTGCCCGATGCAAGGGGGAAAGCTGAGGTCAGCATGGTTAAACTGGGCTCACAGACTGCTGTGGGTTGGAAGGGACCTCCCAGCCCATCCAGTGCCACCCCTGCCATGGGCAGGGACACCCTCCACTAGCCCAGGTTGCCCGAAGCCCCATCCAACCTGGCCTTGAACACTGCCAGGGAGCCAGGGGCAGCCACAGCTTCTCTGGGCACCCTGTGCCAGGGCCTCAGCACCCTCACCGGCAAGAATTTCTGCCTCAGATCTCATCCCCATCTCCCCTCCTGCAGCTTCAGGCCATTCCCCCTTGTCCTGTCACTCCCTGCCCTTGTCACCAGCCCCTCTCCAGCTTTCCTGGAGCCCCTTTAGGGACTGGAAGGGGCTCTAAGGTCTCCCCGCAGCCTTCTCTTCTCCAGGCTGAACAACCCCAACTCTCTCAGCCTGTCTCCACAGCAGAAGCGCTCCAGCCCTCGGATCATCTTCGTGGCTTGAGCAAGTCCACATCTGTCTTATGCTGGGAACCCCAGAGCTGGACACAGTACTCCAGGTAGTCTCACCAAAGTAGAGGAGGAGAATCCCCTCCCTCGACCTGCTGGTCACACCGCTTCGGATGCGGCCCAGGACACAGTTGGCTTTCTGGGCTGCGAGCGCACATCGCCAGCTCACATTCAGCCCATACGTTCGTCTGCCCAACTCAGGAGGCAAATGTTTGTCCCAGGCACCTCCGCAGACCCGGGACAGCCGGGTGGTTCCCATCCCAGGCTCCGCATGGGTTAGATACGATCGCTGCCTTTGAATCAAAGGTGAGTCACTCCCGGGCTCTATTTAGCTCATCTTAAGCTCAGCCTGGGAGCTTCCAGCCTTTTGAGCAAGAGAAGCACAGAGGGACGGGGCAGGAGTTTGCAGATCCAGCGCAATCCCACTGCAGAAAGAAAATTACTCTCCGCACTTACCATCAGCATCTTCAGATCTGCCCGTTCTGCTGGATTTTTAATTAAGCTGAAATGAGAAGAACAAGAGAGCAAAACCAACGCTGAGACATTTTCTTGTGGGAAACCGGTTATCTAGCCGAAGAGGTCTCCGGCTTCACCGAAAGCCACTTGGCCTCCCGGCTGCTTTCCCCAGGAGCCTGGCAGCACGGAAACGGCTCGGAAACATCATCTCCAACAGCCCAGCTCCTAGCGAGAGCTGCAGGATCCGTCTCTTCTAGACCGTGTGGACGAACTGCGCCCCGCAAATGGAGAAGGAGGACCCAACGTTTGGCAGGCGTTAGTGATTTTTGTAATGCCCAATCTCTGTGATTTAACGGGAGCTGCGGCAGCATCTTCAGGTGTCCCCCCCACTGCATGGGAAGGTCTGGAAGTCGATGGTGCACGCCTGGTGCCTACGAGGCTGTGGCGTGACTCACAGCCCCGGCAATCTGCTCCACCATCCCCCTGCCAGGCTCATATTTAGAAGGTGCTGCGATACCGCTGAGCGTCACCACAAATAAACCGCTTTTATTCCGTCCCTTTCCAAGGCAGGAGTTCCCAGCACAATGCAGGATGACACTGCAGCCAGGGAGGGATCACCTACAGAGCGTGGAGAATACTGCGTTACGCTCAACGTTTTGGGTGGAGCGGCAGGCAGCTTTGCAGAGCTGTCAGGGAGCACGGTACAGGCCTCCACCTTCAGCCATAAGCAGAAATCCTTACCATTTATTTACAAACTCCTGGAAATCTTGCGTGAAAACTCCATTCGGTAGCTTGGGAGGTGGCTGCAGAGAAAAGGAGAAGGGTTTTCTGCATCACTGTGTGTTAATGGGTCAAAAAAAAAAAAACCCCCAAAACCCACCCAATCAGTGGCACCTCCAGTCTTTGATGAGCTGCAGAAAAGCTGTGCCCTACAGCCATCCTCCTCCTCCAAGCTGTCCTTTGCAGCCAGGGAACTGCTCCCTGCCATTTCTCAGCACATCACGAGGCTGGCAGCAAACTGCTGCCCCAGCACCGCGTGCGGCTGGGGGGACCCCAGGCTGAATCACTGCCAAAACTCCGGAGACCGAAACTGCAGCGTGACAGTTCAGGATCCAACCTCGCAAATCCCAGCCCTGGCAACGCCCACGGCGGACGAAGCCAATCCGGAAATGATAACTGGGGGTCAGCTCCCATCGCCTTGGAAGGGGAAACCGCTCGTTCCACTTGCTGGTGGGATGGACCCAACCTTGCAAGTCTGGTAGGACATTTCAGCCTGGGAATTTAGCACTGGTCACCCTCATCCAAAGGGCATCATCAGAGAAAACGTGCGCGACCTCAGCATCTGCGCAGAGGAGCTGGTCGTTACAGAGCTCAAGAGCTCCCCTCACCGCTCTCCTCTTTCAAGGATTTATGAACTTCCCCCCCGCAGAGCCTTACTTCAAAACCAGAGATGCTTTTGCAGTACAAAGAGATGGGAAGAGGGAATGGAGGAAGAAGGAAAGGACATTAGGGCAGCTCAGAGGGGCTATCCAAAAGCCCGTTAAAGCAAAAGTTCTGGAGCCCACCCTGACTCAGCAGGGCGGACACGACACTGTGGTACCTCAGAGAAGCCCAGCAGAGCCAACGGTAAAGAAATACCCACCTCATTAACTATATAATCCAGCAGTTCAAAGATGGCCATCGCAGGCCGGCTGTCCATCCCATGGCCTGCATGGTTAAGATGACAAAAACAGCGGTGAGAGGCTGTTCAGGGACAGCGAAGGGCTTCATTTCGTGTGAAAAGCATGTGTGGGACTTTTGCTGGGAGAGGCAGAGGCAACCCACTTGGGAACTGACTCGAGGTTAAAAAAAAAATAAAAAAAATAACCAAAACACATTCCAAAATTTCAGATTTCTTTCATCGTGCCTATAGTCCAGATTTATTTCTTAGCTTGGAGCATAGTACCAGACCATCTGCTGTGGCAGGCTGGCAGCACTTCTAGAGCCTTCTGCTTCCAAGCAAATGGCTCAAGCGGAGCCTCCTTCAAACACCCGTGCCAGTTTGGCGCTTCTACGAGAGCTCCCAGCAAAGCCGTTCCCAAAAAGCTGTCCCCAGCTTGCAAGGAACCTGTTGGGAGCATGGGCAGAGCCTGAGGAGCCACGCGGGCTGTGACGGTGTCCCTCAAAGGATCTCCTCCAAGGGGTCCAAGTGCCAACAGCCTATGACGTCCCCAGCACGGGGTGCTTTGCTGCGTGACTCGAGCCTTCTCGTGGGACACAGCGGGATCTAAAGGCAGATAAACTGAGCTCTTAAAAATCTTAAGAGACCCTGGTTGGCATCCCAAGAGCCATCTCCTCACCTCCCTGTGCAAGACCAGCCTCCCGCCGGTGCTCATTAGGAATCAAACCTCCACGGTAGAGTGGATTCTGCCGGAGCATTGACATTGCTCCAGCTGCTCGGCAGAGAGGGGCCTCCCTACAAGCACTCGACTCCCCTCCACAACCTCATCCAAAACGACCTTTGGCTAACCCAGCCGGACCGAACAAAACCCGACCCCTTCTCCCCCACGTCTGCACGTTGTTTCCAATGTATACGACAGCCCCTACCACTGACGGGGCGTCCTGGGGGCCTGGCCCGCGGCGAGATGCTGTGAGATTCTCCCTCTGCCCCGTCTACCACAGGACGGCCAAATATTGCTTCCAGTTCCTTGGAGTCTGGCGGGGGGATTGGGTACCTTCCGATAGACAGCTCCACTAACGACAGACCCATGCTCCAGATGTCGGACTGGACCGAGTAGTGGGTGCCCTGCAACCGCTCGGGCTGGAAGGAAAGATCCCAGAAACATACGTATTGATATTCTGAATCGATGTGAAGTCATAAATATCACGCACTGAAATTAAATAGACGAGACTCGATATCCTGACAGCCTTTCCATCTCAGCTCTTCATCCCTCCAGGGAAAGGTCTGTCCCACAGGGATCATGTGCAAAGGGGATGCAAAAGAAAGATCACGTGCAAACGTAAAGCACTTGTATACATCTGATCAACAGCTACAGTGGAGCAGCGTTTACAGCTGCTTACACTTAGGAGTCCAGAGTACGCAGTAGGAATCGAGTTCTCTGTACACCAAGGTCTAATGAACTCGACTTATTAACCTTGTTTGGTTCCCCCCTCACACACACTTGTTCCTGTTAACACCCAAGAGGAATCTGAGGAGCAGAAAATCTACTCTGGGCTCTTACCATTGAAAGAAAAATTTAAAGAA